GCAAAGTAGGGTGATTATGCCTGTATTTGGGGCAACTTCAGCAGTAATATGCCTGTATTTGGGGCAACTTCCAGTCCACGTTCAGCGATAATGACCATACATCCTATTCGGGCAAAGTAGGGTGATTATGCCTGTCTTTGGGGCAACTTCAGCAGTAATGACCACACGTTCTATTCAGGGGAAGACGGTAGAAGGATGGAATACACAATTGCCATTTGTTTTTTGTTTTCCTCACATTGGTGGTGAGTGGGCTGCGAGGCGCCGAGGCCCATAGACCATGTGGAGAACAGTGTACATTAGGTCAGCCTACATCACTTCCACAAGACAGGAGATGGGCTCTGCAGCACATGGGCAGGGAGCGTAGACCAGCAATCGTCCAGCCAAGTCAAAGACATGGAACGATGGAAAAGCTCCCCCCGCCGGAGCTGGATTCGGAGTCCACGACCCCATGGAACAGAACGGATCTGATCCATGGACGAAACAAGTATCATGAAGCTTATACCAACAATGTGTCACCTCAAAGGTGAGCGTGAGCGATACCTATACCCCGATATCAATCCTCCCGTACAACCATAGCGCTAGAACAGCGCACAAATACACGGATTATACACCCTTCACAACTAGGTACCTTGAAGTTCCACCCATTTTTTTTTTTTTTTTTGAAGTTCCCTCTGCGGGGCTAAAGGCAATTAGAACAGAGGTATAATCGTCGCCTTGTGGAAGACGGAGGAAAAGTATGGGTCTTGTGACACCACTCACCAAATGTGCAAAATATAAATGAATCTTCTGTGAAAACATGGAAATATACACGGCCATAGTTTGCGTCTTTTGTACGTTCCGTGGAGTGGTGGGCCAGGGCCTGTAACCGTTGACAAGGTAGATCCTGCGCAAGTGTATACCCTTCATCTAGTCGTTTCCAGTCACGTGGATGGGCTGTTTAGTGAATCCACTTGCAATAAAGAATGCTGGGGTCAGTTGATGTGGCTCAGTGGTTAGAGCACCGGTTGGAAATGCGCATTGTGGTATGAGGTTGCGGGTTCAAAAGTTGATTGCAACCTTGCGCATGGACACCGGCAGGGCGTTAGATTGACGCAT